TATTGATTGATAACAAAGACGGTGTTTTATTAATATCGTTTGACATACCATATTACTGCAATTTTGAAGTCGGGTATTCTAAAAAAATCAAAAATTTAGGTTTTTTTTTTTGGTTTTATTCATTTTAATAAAAATTCAAAAATATTTCATGACACCTCCTCCTTCAATATACAAAATATAAGGGTTGCCCGAAACAAAATTGCTACAAAATTTTTATAATATACAAACATGCATATGTAAGAATGTACATATATCACAGAATCTTATTAAGTGACACAAAAATAAACGTGAAATAAATAAAAAACAAAAATGCGAGAAAATTTTATATTCAGAGTCCAAGACAAAAAAAAAAAAATAGTTTTTATTTTTATATAGTGAAAATCATTTAAAAAAAAAAGAAAATATTTTTAGATGTTGAAACTGCGATATAATTCTTTAAATTTTCAACAATAATTTTTCTTTTGTATGTGAATATAAATTTAACTTAATTATAAAATTTTCAAATATATTTCAAAACTCTTTTGTTATACAATACGAATGGTAGAGAAAATGAAAAATTTAGATAAATAGGGCCTCTACCAAAATGCTGCACATCTGTAACGTCAACTTGACTTGTTCAGCAATACAGTTTTAACTGCAGAATAAATCAAATTTTACTAGTTAGAATCAAATTAATTAATTGATTTTGATTACATTTTAAGAGGCACCTTTATACTTAATGCATATATAACTTATAAATTACTTTATATGTTTACATACATGTATGTGTACCCATGCGTCATACGTTTCTAGTTAGAACTTTAATTTTTTGAAAGTTCAATACTGAGCTGACAGATTTAAGTCAAATTAAAAAATGTTTTATGTCAAGAACTAAGAGAAAATCTAAGTTCCATTCCTCTAAGATATTGAGAGAAAATCTAGAGTGAAAATAATTTGAAATCGTCTTTTGCTTTTTTGACATTTATGGTTTTCATTTCTGTAAAACAATATTGAATCCTAAAAACATGTAAATCTTCATATCAATAAAATGAAAAAACAATAATAGTATGAAGTTTTATCTTAGAAAATAATAAATATGGGATAAAAGAATTTTTTATTTGTTATATGTATAATTTTAATTTGTTGTCCGCTAACATGAAAGAAATTTTAAAAGTTTTTGAATTAACTAGAATTTTTCAAAAATTTGCCAATTTTATAATGAATGAAGATTTTGAAATTTTAAGAAAATGTTCTTTTCAATCTTTTGTATTATCATCTCTCTCAATTATCAATATCTTACTTAATTCTTCTATTGAAAGCATCAATGAACTATGAAATTTTGACAGCAGATGATGCTTGTGAATCTTTTTACGTTTATTTGGCAAATCTATCACCACAGCTAAAGCAGTATGCGTGAATTACTTATTTGAGAAGTGAACCGTGGAATTGTGTGTATAACATTTGAATTTGTGAATAACAATTAAATATAACGGGTGCAATATTGCATGAATGTTATTTTAAAACAGAATTTGATGTTAATTGTTTTAAATAAATTGTTAAATATGTATTTTTAATAAAGGTGTATAACTTCACACGTGTCATAGAGATAAAAGAAACTTAGCCTCAAACATTTATTTTTTTTATATTTTTTTTAACATTTTTCAATATTATTTATGTTATGTATATTTTAAGAACTCCCATCAACTATATATTGTTAAAATTTTTTTGTTTTTATCTACGTACATACATACATACATATATTTATTTTAATAATAAATTTATTTCAATATTTTATTTTCCTTGAACTAATTTTGTTACTGCGTTAATAATGTTGTTGATGTAACCGCTGTTGCTGTAGAGCATGTTAAATCCTATATATATATTATGTAACTTAAACTAATTAAGAACTTTTAATTGTCTTGTAATTTTCAATAAAATTTTGTATTCCAACTATATTTTTTTTACTAATACCGACGACTAATTTTTTTATATGAATATAATCTAATAACTGGTACGTAATTCAACAGTTTGACAAACACGATTAAGTATTTACATAATAAAAATAGGCACAAAGTTAACACACATTCAATTGCCAGAATAAATATGTGTAGCCACATTTATTATGAAACATACATATTTTTAAGAAAATTATTAATAATTTATTAAATATTTCTATTCATTCTGATTGTATAATATTTTATTAGACAAATGTGATTAATAGAAACTTAATTCAGTTCCTGAAAATATAGAACGAAATAAATGGCAAATTCATCAACGTCACAGACATTCTCGTAAGCTGCCAAACTCGCCAGCAATTTTTATTAGTTATTATATATCTATGGCGAATTGATTTATTTGTCAATTTTTTTCAAACATAATGGCAGCATTGCATGGTATTGACAATATTTTAAAGTAAACTATCGCATAAATTTCTTTATTCTTTTGACAAATTCGCGTATACTTGTCATATAATTTTTTCATTTGTCAGATTTTTAATTGAATTCACGAAACATAATACCAAATTGTCTATTAAAAATTAGAACTGTAAAATATTTAAATTAATAGATAATTTATACAATTAAATTGCAGTGATTTTGATTTAATAAAAAATATTTTATTAAAATCAAGTTTTAATCAATTTTATTAAATTTCTCATGTCTTTTCTTTTCCTTTTGTTTTTTTTTCTCGTTTATTTTTTTAATATGTTGCAGTTTTTATTGCTTTAGAGACGTTTGTAAACTATGATAATTCTCAAAATAAATATCACAAAAAAAATCGGCGACAGTAATAAATGATTTGTTTATTATTTCCCTCTAATGATGGTAAATTTTTATGTTGTTCCGGTGCAAGTATCATAATATTATTAGTACTTACATATATCACAGTACACGTAGTAAATAGTAATAAACTCTCATACAAAGCTCTTTAAGTCCACTTGTCAAAAACGGAAATTGTCATTTTTGGCCAATATCTCATATGTTCTATAAAATTACAAAACTATCAGATTTATTACATAAAGTTCTTTGTGTAAACTTCCTCAAAATAATGTGTATAATGTCTGAGAGTTTACCACTATGTACTACACTATATTTATATACTGTGTCAAATAATAAGCAATTTTTTTTTAAATTAATTGTGCAATTGTTATTGAATTTGTTTAGCAAATGGTTTTATATATTATTTTTTTTTTACTTTTGTAATTTAAATCAAAAAAATAAGCTCATCACCGTTAATTTAAATAGAAAACTTCATATTACTTATATAAGAGTGGTGTTTACGATTATTTTCATTTAGAGAAATTTTTCAAAATTATCATATGTATGTTACATACCAAATACAATGACTCTACTGTAATCAAAGCCGCTTTATTTATTAGTCACTGAAAATTATTATTTCCAACTATTAGTGCATCGATTATATCTAATCGTTATAGGTGAGCACTATAAATTTTTAAATGTTCAAGATTTATGAAATATTTTTGAAGCCTTTATCTATCCAAATTTGAATTCGGAGATCAAATTCCAAACAATTTAAAGCAATCGGGATTCAACCAATTTTGAAATAATGAGAGTACTCTGATTTTCATTTTAATTTCAAAAATCCTGTCATTGTATTTGAAAAATTAGTATATTTTGTTAAAATTCTTTGTCGCACCTCTACTAAATTTCTCTATTTGGAAAATGAATGTACACTGCGTTCAATAAGACAAAGGTAGTTAGTATATAAAACTCATGACCATAGTCCAGTGTAATACCGTTATAATGTGAAATTTCGAAAAACTCAATAATGTGAATGCAATAATATAAAAGCTTCAATTTTACTAAAGAATATCTGATACATTTCACAAGTTGTTACCAGTTTACTAGATTTTCTGAAATATCAGATAAAATGAAATATATATATACATTATTTTAAAGATTTAAGCAAAATAGCAACTTCAAGAACAAGTTTGAAGTCATCAGAGTTTATGTAAAACACTGTCACTCCAAATTGAATTTTAAAAGCTATTTTAAAACCAAATGGTTTGTAAAGTACATATTATATTGGCTAGCAACAGATGATTAAAAAATTTTATGATTATTTTATATCATACCGGTTGTATTATCCTGTTGCATACAACATATTCAATACATTATTTTGTTAATACAAAAGAACAAGCAAGAAAATGTGAGCACAAGACTTCGCTAAAATCATTATCTCCAATTTATTGCACAGGGTTGTCATTACTGTATTGAATTTTTTCGTTGTCATTATGACGGTATTATAAATGTAATTGATTTGTTTTTTTTGTGAATTATTCTGCGTTTGTTTTATTGAACGGCAGTTGTTTTTATTATGAACTATTAATAATTTTTACAATATTTTCTTTTACTTAATTTTACTGATGATGAAAGGGCCCTTTGTATTTTTATTTTTTTTTTTGGAGCAATATTGTGCTAGTTTTTTTTTCTGCAATATTAGATATAATCCAGATTTTTATAATGATTTAAGTAAAATACTTTTTAGGATTTTAAAAAAAATTTAAATAAAAAAATTTTTGGCGGGAAATTTGTAAATGAATAAAAAAAAATTCGTTCACAATCAAAAACGAGAAATTTGTTTTAGTTTGGTTTTCATTTACTTATTATTTTTTCTTTTTTTTTTTGTTTGTCTTTAAAAATTTATAAATTTTCAATTCTTATTTCAAGTTTTATCAAAAATCAAAAAGAAATTAATTAATTAAAATACATATTTAAAAAAAAAAAAGAATCAGATAAAAAAATTTGCAGAGTTTGACGTTTTTTATTGCTGAGAGTTTCGTTTTCTTTTAACACTAAAAAACTAGACAAAATGAGAGTTTCTTACCAAGTTTTTTTCTTGCATAGTGGTTTTCAAGTGTTCATTTTTTTTTATAGATTTCATTTTTTTTTCAATTTTTTTTGTGTTGTTTTTTATTTAAGTATGAACAAATTTTTATCAATAACTCTTTTTTTTTATCTCATTTTTATTTTTCCTTTCTCAACTGTTTTCAACTGATCCAGTGTGCCACCATCTTACGTGTATGGTTCACCATATTTAGCAGCTACTACAGCTACAGCTGCGGCTGCTGCTGCCGCTAATCCAACTGCCGGTTTAGTCCCGATACAAGCAGCAAGTCAATTAAATCAATTTTATGAATATCAAGTAAGTTAATATTATTTTAAAGAAATTTTGAATACATAATTTGGGTTTGGTAAACGTAAGACAATTTTAATAAATACGACAAAATCTGCAAATAAATCAGTATCCGAAGAAAATTTGATTTTGTCTTATATATAAACTATAATTTTTCGGGTTAAAGAATTTAATATTGTTTTAAAAAATTTATTTAAATCTTGAAAATTATTTATATTTTATAGAATGCTGTAGCTGCTGCTGCCGCTGCACCATATCCAGGACAATATGCGGGCTTTGAAGCATATCCTTATGCTGGTGCTACAGCTGGTAATTTCTCTATTATTATACTAATATAAAATTATATTATAATAATTTTATTTTGAAAACAGACCAAATATTTTATATTTTAATCAAAAATTTTTTGTTATAACATAATAATATTTTATTTGTTTTTTAGCTGCTGCAAATCCTGGTTATATAACACCATACGCCTATGCTCTACCACAAAATTCCGCTGCAGTTGCAGCGGGAGCATTTCCTGGTGCAGCAGCCCTCAATCTCTACCAACAAGCTGCTGCGAATGCATCCTTACAAGAGGCCAGACTGCAATAATATCATGAGACCAAATTAAATTATTTTTATTATTTAAAATAGTTTATTTATATACATATATATTTTAAATATCAACAATATACATACATTATTATTATAATATTACATAATTTTAATTAAAAAACAAAATGAAGTTTAGTTATATAGTTTAAATATGCACATTATACATACATATATACATAAGTACATTATCACAATATTATTTTATTAGTACTTATGTAAATTCTACTCTTTTAAATAATTTTATTTTAAAACCAAAAACAAAATTAATATCTTGTAATAAAAAAAAAATCTTAATAGTTTTTTTTTTAGAACTCAATAGTCAAGAACTGATATATTGATGTACCAAAGATGTTATATATATATACATATATTTTTATATTACAGATATTATGTTATACAAAAAATAAGTTTTCTTTGGTTAAACTCCAACGTGTCCAAACAGAAAATATTGTTTTTTTTTTTTTTTAATATTTTATAATTTTCAATTGAAATAATTTATTTTAATAATTCATTTTGTCATGAAGCAAATAAGCTGTATAAACTTTGTACTTGCAATCATTAAAACAATTTATAATAAAAATAATTTTGTATTGGCACAATATCTTTAATTCGGCGATAGCTATTATGTCTCCGAAAAAATGAATATAAATTATTAAGAAATTAATACAAAAATGTAAAATGAATTATATTTTAAATCAATGTAAACTTCATTATTATATAAACCTATATTTTATTTAATATTATAAAAAATTTAATAATAAAAATTAAATATATATTTTTGATAAAAGAAAAAATAAATATAAATGGCTCAATCACAAAAAAAAAAAATTTTTTTGAGTTAAAAACTGAATAAATTTTCAAATTAATATTTTAAATACACTATCGGTGCGCTGTTAATTTGTCAAACTATTTAATTTTAATAAAAATAAAATTTAACATTCATTTTTAACAAATTTAAAATTTTTTTAAGAATTTTTTCTTTATCTACTCAAATTTGACTATAATTAAAATTAAATTGAGCACACTCTTTTGTAAATTTTAATCACTTTTAAATTTAAATCAGCAAATTGATTAAAATCAGTAAACAAATTCTTTTAACTTTTCCAACAGTAGCTGAATATAAGGTGATTTTAATGCTACGAATGTTATTTTTTTGAAGTACAAAATTATCAAACTGCTCTCTTATTTTTTTGAGTTTTTTAAATTAATTTAAACCTAATACTTTAATGTATATTTATTATATATTTATATGTATATTTGTTTAAATTATAATTTATTCAAAAATTTCACAAATTACAGCGTAAAAGAAAAATGAAAATTTATCATATTAATTTAGATATACATATATATATGTATAACATTATAATTTGCAAATATTTATAATAAAAAACTTAAGTAAACTATTTATTTTTAATTGAATATTAAAAAAAACAAACATTTAAAAAAAAACAAATAATTTTCTAATTAGTTAGGATTTAAATGAATTATGATTTTAATATGGAAAAAATCAATTAATTTAATAATTACTTATTTAAACAAAAAAGAAATTAGGAAAATTACTTAATTGTTAAAAAAATTCACAATTTTTTTTTTTTCGTTTAGTTTATTTAATAAGTTCATATAAAACTAAAAATAAATAATGGTTATTTAAAATAGAGATTTTTATAAACAATATTCAATATTCCTATTGTTGCATTGCATTAAAAGTTTTTTTTTTGCAATTGCGAGTAGCTATATTGTTTTTTTTTTTTATAAAAATCATTATTTTTTACTTATTATTTTAAAATTAAAATATGGTTAAAAAATTGACCATTTACACTTAATTAAGAAAATAAAAAATTTATATTTATTTGCACAATCATAACTTAAATAATTATTAAAATACATACTTTGAATTTTTAAATAGATTTAAATAATAATAACAACAATGGGTAAAGCAATTTCAAACCTAATTTAAAAAAAAAAATAATAATAATAATATGTAAGTAAAAACTGTATTATAGTTTATATTTATAAATTATTTATATGTATATTTATAAATAAACTGGAATTACAAATAATTTTTTTTTTCTGTTCTACACTATTAATTTTTAAGATGTAATCGATAATGTAAAATTGAGTCTATCGATAATGCTAAAATATAATCGATAATGCTAAAAACAAAATGACAAGTAATTAATAGTGCTGATTACGTGTCATATTATTAAAAATTTTTTTTTTGGCAGTTTTGTAATAAAACAAAATTTCAATTGCTGATTTTGTTTTTTATGCAAAATGAAAAATTTTGAAGAGGATAAGAGTAATTTTTATTTAATGAAATTGAGCGCTAGGAAATATTCAAATGATAAATAAATTACTAGAGCAGTTATCAACCGATTGCATTAATATAACCAGTTGTTTTAGCATAAATTCTTAATTGCCGGTTCGTGACCGTCAGATACAATCTTGTTATCGACCAACATTTGACATTATCGATTACACTTTAATTGAATACAATAATATTTTAAACAATATTTAATATTGAAAACAAATTGCTAAAAACAAATATTTCCAATTAAAAAATAAAATATGTATGTATTTATTTCAATATTTTATACAATTTTAACATTTTTGTTGTTTTATATACATACATACATACATACGTATATTTTCAATATTGTTTTGTTTATTTACAAAATATAATATTTTAATTTTATATTATCAGTTTTTATTACTTAGAAATTTAAAAACAAAAGAACCAAAAATTCTTGAATATTGTCAACTTCATTAATAATTTTATTAAATTTTTGAATTAAAAACTTTACAATATAATTAATTAGATGAGATTAGAAGAGTCTCTTAGACTATTTAAACATGTGATAACCATTATGGTTTTCAATGGTGCACAATTTTTTGCAGATAAAAAAAGTGCAAAAAGTGCATACAACTTTTTGTTCTCAAATTCTTTTCATATATTTTTTTTTTTATTTTTGTTATTTCTTTACAATAATTTTATTCAACGAAACAAAGAAATATTTATTAAAAAATTTGTACTAATTTTAAAAAATAAAAATTTTTTGGCATCAAACCTACTTTGTTGATTTTATGTTTTTGCTGTTTTCGCCAAATCTATTTTCATGTCAAGGCTTATGCTTTATTTTTTTTTTTTTGTTTCAAAAATAATAACGTAAAAATATTTTATATTTAAAAAAATTATTTTATGTACGTAAACTATTTTTAACAGTTTTTTAACAGCACCTTTGTTTTTTATTTGTTTGTTTTCATTATAATTCGATTTTATTGAATTAAATTGACATTTCGAATTTGATTAAATTGTAATATTTAATTATCATTGTCAAAAAGTAATATTAAATTCGATTTAAAACGTATAATTTTTTTTGAATTTGTTTTTTTTTTTTTATGGAAATTAGATTAGAGCAATTCTCTAGATTTTCTGGAACAAAAAATTAATTTTATATTTCAATTTAATACATAAAATAAATAACTTCAAAATCGAATTTAATTTATGACTTTATCGTAATTGACGAGGGAGAATACCTTTGCAAGTCAAATGAACTTGAATCGTGAACTCAGCAATATTACAAATCATAATCAGTGAATGAATTTCATTCATCAGATCCAAAATATAGCTACATCAAAATACATACATATTTTGCTTTCATTTGTCGAATAAAAATTTTCATTTGATAATCACTAAGCAGAATTTGTTTGATAGTATTGAAAACTGTATAGTAACAAAAATTTTTATTAACCAAAAATGTCATTCGCTTTGCCTGTATTATGATAAGGTCTTTTTTAATTAATCACAAATATTTTCTTTCTTTTCGATAATTATCTTAAAATTTTACATTGCACAAATTTTAGGAAAACCACGGTTTTTTATATTTTTGTAATCAAAGCCAAAGAACCTCTGTTTAGTGTATATCAAAAGCGGAGTACAAAAGAAGTGAATTACTTTGTTATGTTAAAAATATTATTTCATTAAAAGGTTCTTTACTTTCTTTAAAATAATAAGTTCTAAAATTCTTTATTAATTTTCTAGTAATTGTAGTATATTTTTGAATATACATATAAATATTTAATATATAAATATATATTTTTAAAATTATATGCATATATATAAGGGAGAACGTACTATATTTACAATCATAAAGTAGAAAACACCAGTATCCAAGCTTACAAAATAAATATTCAAAAATGTTTAAACAATTTATTTAACTATTTATATACATATATTTAAACAATACAATATACATACATATATATGTAGATAAAAGTGATTTTAAAAAATATATGTAAAATTCATTTAATACTTTTAATATATTAAAAAATATATATATTTCTATAAGATTATACTGCAACAATTTTAACAAAAAAAAAAAAAAATATAATATATAAAAAAAATATTTTAAATTTCTAGTCAACTATAAGACACTTTTATTTTTATTACTTAATAATCAATTATTTAAAAATAAATAAAACAAAAAATAAAATACATTATAATTTAAGGTTAAGAAATAAAATGAAAAAATTTAAAAAAATAGATAGAAAAAAAAAAAACAAAAAATAATAATATTGTTAAAATAAACAAAAAAAACTATTTATTAAAAAATTTAAATAAAAATTTCATATAAAACAAAAAAAAAATGAACTTATAGTTAACAATTTATCAATTATATACAATAAAAGTAAATTTATAAATTATGAGAAGCTATAAACAAAGAAATAAAAATAATAATTTTCTCGTCTTTTAATTGCAAAAAAAAAAAAAAGTAAAATAATTAGCAAAAAAAATCACATAACAGTTGACCCCACATTGAAGAACAAAGACTTTAAAAGATTGAAAATTAATTATTAATCTTTTCAAAAATAATTTCATTTACTATTAATGCTTTCGTTTTCAAAAAAATTACTAGGGTCCTACAACACTAACCACTTTATATTTTTTTTTTTTATAATCAATTAATCAAAAAGTTTGCAAAGTTTCTTTTTGGTACCGGGAGTCAAAACGCAAACAGTTAAAATTTAAAAAAAAATTAAAAACTTAATAAGCAAATATAAGAGTGGTTGGTGAAATAGGGCCGCGCCCTGGCTATTTATTGTTCATTACATGAACGTTTTAATTTATTAAATTATTTTATTAAAAATTAATAAAAAGGAAATATTTTGAGTATTACAAGAGCAGTTAAATAATTGTATTGCAAAGAGGTTCTCATAAACGCAATACTGCAAAATAACAATGCCATATTCCGTTAATCGTATCGCTTATACTAATTTCGCTATAAATAGCACAGTTTTCGCTATATATTACAATTTATGCGATTATGAAAGCGTCTATCAATAATAATAACAATTTGTTTCTCTTTTTTAAATAAATATTTTTTGATAAATATTTTATAAAAATTACAAAAAAGTTTTGGAAAACTTCAGTTCGGGTCTTCAGAAAAATTTTTTTTCAATAAATAAAATCATAAATATTTCAATATAACAAAATAATAAAGTTGAAAAAAAAAATGGCAATCAATTATAAATTATAAATTAATATTTATATTTGATTATTAACAAAAAAAAAAACAAGGGCACAATATGATAAACGTTTCAAAAAAAAAAAAAATAAAACAAATGAAAAATAATATTAATTGAGTTAATAAAAACAAAATAAAGAAAAGAAAACCAAACGTAACAAACTAAAAATATAAAATAACAAATTTAAAATTTGAAAATGGAACGTACAATTATTTTTTGAGGCCTTAAAACCTAAATTAACAAAAAACAAAACTTTTTTTTCAAAGTTTTATCAAAATTATAAAAATAAGAAAAAAAATATCCTTTTTAAAAATTTTACAAAAAGAAAAATATAAAAAACGATTGTAAATTTACATTTATTTATATATAAAAAAAAAAATATTTAAAATAAAAAAAAGAGAGAAAAAATTATATAAAAATGTAGTTTAGCATCAAAAATAAAACAAAAAAAAACCTATACAAATAATCGTAACCATTAAGATATTATATTTTAAAAACTAAAATTTAAAAATTGTAACAAAAACAAATAAATAAATAATAATAAAAATTATATAAACATTATGTATAAGTGCATATTCGCTTTTTCCTTCCCGTGTGGTGTCCTTTTCATTTGAATCAATTTTCTCTAAAAAAAAGTTTTTGCGAAATCACATATTTTCTGAGTCACATATGAGTAAGTTTTGACCTTTCATATCGCAACTTTCCCAAAATAAAGTGAAAGAAAACTACTTTTATGAGTTAAACTCGTACCACAGGTCTCACAACATGAGAAAATTAATAATAGATTTGATTTTAATTTCTCTTTCATGATCCTTTTTGGGAGCACTTCAAAAATATAAACATAATTGTCGATTTCCTCTCAAAATGACAGCTATTAGAGAAAATTTGAAGTAACACTGTTTAAACTTTTTTTTTTGTCACTCAGAAGGAAAAGAGCTGTGCTTTTTTTTTTGGTGACTGACATGAAATGAGAAAGTGCGTTGCGTTAGATTTGCGGTAAGAACAAATAAATTTTTTTAAGTGGAAAAGATCAATCAGAGTGATAGCTTTCACTTATTATTTCATTAAAAATGATTAATAAAGATTCATTTCATATTTTTTGAAACCACTAAAAATTGTGAAAATTTATTGAATAATAGTTCAATAGAATTGAAAAAAAGGGTAAGTTTTTTCAACACAAAAATTAAAATTTCAAATTTGATGCTAAATTTGGAGTTTTTGAAATAATTTAGACGTACGCGCAAAACAATTACCTATTAACAAATTTTTGCACGTTTTGTTACCTTTAACATTTAATTGTTTTTCTTTAATTTGAAAGTTTTTCATTTAGACGTAATTCACATTAGATGTTATTAGTTTACAAGTAATTTTCTTTTAAAATATTTTTAGCGATGCGTAGCGACATCTATTAATTTGGAATAGCACCTAAATACATATATAATAAAATTTACGGTTTTTTAATGTGAATACAAATTTTTATTTAACATGAAAACAATATTATAGAATTGATGGCGTATTAATTTAAGCAAAATAATTTAAGATTTATATTCATAATATGTAGTTGTTTGACAACATTATGCAAAGCTATCTTATTAAAACTTTCTCGACTAATAATAAAGATAAACAGAACAAATTAAATACCATTATATAAGTATATACTTTTGCAAAATATGAATAATTTTACATATCTGTAATTTAAATATTTGTAAATACGCAACCGTATTTAAGATTTAACAAATTATTTTCAGGAATAAAAATCTTCTAATTTTTTAGCTCAATTCAATACAGCCACCTTAATAAGAGTTTTAGGTAGTATAAAAAATATAATATGTATATTTATATGAATTAAAATGATAAAATACAAAAAATCCAAAGAATCATCTAATCAAGGTGATTAAAATTGAAAAAGAAAATTCAATATTTTATTTGACATTCATGAAAGCTTCAATTTCCTCAACTCTAAAAGATATAACAATAGTTGAAAAATTCAATTTATAACAATTAAATTTTTTTATAAAACTCACGTTCTTGGAACAATAGCAAAATTTTCGCAACCATCTTTCTTAATTAAAACGCAATCTTCAATTCGAACACCTCCAAATGAACGAAAATCTTCAAATACTTCACGATTTATAAATTTTAACAAATTGGGATCGCCCAAAGCTTGAATAAAATTTATAATAAGGTTTATTTACTGTGCTTTTAGAAATAAATCATTATGGATTATACCTTTATCCATTAAATAATCGATGAAATAGCAACCAGGTTCAACTGTTACATACATTCCCTCTTTCAATACTCTAGCAAATCTCAATTTATTAAAACCAGGTTCTTTTGGACGTTCAGGCTCACCATTCAAATAACCACCAACATCATGTACATCTAGCCCGATTAAATGGCCCAATCCATGTGGTTGGAAAATTGCATTCAATCCACTAGCAATCATTTCATCGACATCCCCTTTTTAGAATACATTTAATTTCCTTTTAAATATTAAATATAAAATATAAAATTTGTATTACCTTTTAACATATTTCCATCCTTTAAACATCCCAACATAACTTTATTTGCTAAATAGTGCATATCTACCCATGAAACTCCTTCTTTTGCAGCCTTTAATACTGCATTACGGGCATCTAATACAGCATTGTAAATAAACTTTTGTTTTTCAGTAAACTTTCCATTTACGGGGAAACTACATGTGATATCGGCAGCATAACCTGCATAGTTTCCGCCCATATCAAATAAACACATGTCTCCATCTTTTATAATGCGAGTATTTGGTGCACTTGCATGACCATAATGTAAAACTGATGAATTATGACCAGTACCGCAAATACAGGTGTAAGATACATGACGACAACCACCGTTATAGTAACAGTAATTTAAAAAAATACTTTCGCATTGATATTCAGTCATGCCAGGTTTGATAGACTTCATTACTTCTTTATGCGCATCTGATGAAATTTTTGCTACATAGCGTAAAACTTCAATTTCCTCTGTTGATTTGATAACTCGGCTAAAAGAATATATGCAAAAAGATTATAAACATGCATACGTAACGTTTAAAACGCTGCTTAAGAAAGTTTTAAAAATTTGGATTGATTCCTCGCTTAACGTATCTTCAATTTTGATATTTTAAATCGAGTATATTATTTATACAAATGTATGTATGCATAGAAATTTATGCAAGAGATATGAAAAATTTTCAATATATTACGTACCAATCGACAATTCATGTACTTTTATTACAATACCGCAGTCTAAGCAAAGCTCCTAAGTAATTACATATATAAAAAAAGGCAAAACAATTTACTAATTTATAATTACAATTTTATTAACAATTTTATAAACAACTACTACCTTCACTAACTATAATTGTACTCTATTATGTAAGAAAGACAACTCGAACTTAAAAAAATAGCGTAAACTTCAGATTGATTTATAATAAAACATTTTTTATTTACAATAAAATTTAGAGAAATCTAATAAAGAATTACTTAAATTTCTTTAGTTGGCAAGGCTGAATAAGTCTCTTTCATTCTTTCTACCAAGTACTTATGTAATTGAACTGGATGCATTCTAAGTTTGGCTAATCTATCATAGTTTAAAGTTGCAACCTTGATTCCCATTTTTCTCAAATGCCTTATGCGCATATGTTGCGGACCAATTAAAAATTCTCCTTTTGAATCATAATATTCTGGTATCATAATCAAGACGGCGACTAAGACATTGTAATCGTCTTTTATATTGAAAGAAAAAGTTTTGAATCCAGGCGGATGAACAAGAACATCCACTATATAGAGCGAATTAACCGGTAATTTTCCAATTATAACACCTCTTGTTAAATTATCAGAGCTACCAGCAATTTTTTCAAAGTAGTCCATTGTTTGATTTACAATACGTTTAATTCTACCATCTTGCCAAATAGATTTCGACAAATTATCTTTTGGCAAAAAAGGTCCTGAATATGTTTCAACTTCTATCGTAAGAGCAACATCTAGTAACTTAAGGTCACTTCGAATTTTTAGAAGCCTTTCAGGATCAATTGAGCTATGTATCGAATCAATAAAGTGTGGATTAAAAACTGATTTAACGAAATTCAATGGATACATTTCCAAATAGCAGCAATTTAAAAATATTTCAATCAAATGTATCGGATTGAACTTATGAAAATTTTCTTTTATATATTCTTCAATAATTTGCCAAAATTTTATTCCATTCAATGGTTGATAATGTAGGAAACCAAAAGTTTGAATCAAAGTTTTTAATACATCTGGCGAAAATCGATTCCAATTACATATAAAAACCTCGGAGAAACCGTTTAATATAATATGATTTCGAAGCCTAAAATGTAAGCAATGTTCCAAAATTGCAATTGTCAAAGATTCTGATGTTATTTTAATTCCCTTGGCTTTCACATATCGACTTAGTGCCTAAAATGAGACAAGTTGAAGAAAAAACCTACAAATATTTGTGAAAACTAATTTAAACCTTTTCTATTTCCGAATTAGAGAAATCTAATTTTGTATATGATTTCACGATTACTTCCAAATGTTTTCCATTGACTACATGTATATTAGTATTTAACCATCTTGCGAAAAATTGCATAGTTCTGAGGGCTGTACAGGTTGAATTCATTTTAGCTAAAGCTTCAATACTTTCTGTTACGGCTTCCGGTGTTAAAAGATACCAAAAGTTGCCAATACGCTTTTCCAATATACCTAATAGTAATCTTCTACTTATCTTTAACTTTGGTAAAACTTTATAAATAAATTTTATATTTTGTTCGTTAATTGATTTTTCAGCATCAGAAATTCCAGTCCAGAATTTTTCAGCAGCGAAATGCTGCTGACAATCAATAAATCTATCAATACATTCACAAGTTTCCACAATTGATAAGGCTCCATCTGAATTTCTTAATAACAATTCATCACAAAAGCGTTGTACAGTTTTTTGTAAATCAAGAAATGTTTTTAACATTTCCATTATATCCAAAAGTAATTTGTGGTCCCCACTTTTAAGAATACACCTAATTAATTTTTCAAAAACAGGACTACTTTCTTCCAAGTTTCTTAAACCAATTACAGTATCATTCCTAATTAATTTGTCAAAAGCATGTGAAGCTATATCTGGATTTAAAGCACTTTCCGGGATTTCATTAATAATGCTTAAAATTCCTGCTGATGTTACGCAATTATTTAACAGCTTTATGGCTTCTTCAGATTTAACTTCAATTTGATTTACTTTATTTAATGTTTGGTTGTTGCCATCAATCATTTCGGTGTTATTTGGTTCTGACCATATTGTTACGAACTCGTCTGTTTTTATCTTACGAAGAACTACCGGTAATTCTTGAATGTCTGAACCATGTTGAACTAAAATTGATGTTTGTCCTACGCTAGGACTCGTTTCTATTTTTTCTGGGTCTGAACTTTTCGAATTGTCTGAGCAAGACGAATTACAAAATAAACTAAGAGTTTTTAGGCGCTCATACTTGGCAAATATTGAATTTATATTAGAATTCCATTTAAAAATATATATGGGCCTTAATGACATATTTCCTTGATATATTTTACTAAGTTTCACGAAAAATATAAAATTCTGTTCATAATTTAATCGAAAAAAATATTAAAGGAACTCACAATGAAAATTTTCAAAATAAAAACAAAATAGGTAAATTGTAAATGTCAAAATACTATTAGTTTCTTGTCAGCTGTAAGTGAAAGTAGTGCCATATGTCAGGATTTTTCTTAATATTATAATTCAAAGTATTTTGAAAATTTTTTTCTTAAACAAATTTTAGAATATTGTTAAATATGTAAGACAACAGTATTAAATTTTAACTCAGTTATCTTTGTAAAAAAAATAATAACTTTTGTAAGAATATCTATTATCACCAATCTATTATTTTGACAACGTATATTTTGACGTTGTCAAAATTGATATTTTGACGTTGTCAAGATTGATATTTTTGCCACTAATTTAATAGCAAAATTAAGGTGACATATAATAACGAGTAAATAACGGTAAAAAAAATTTTTTTTTTTTAATTTTTAGATTTACATTACACAAGCAAGAAATGACTAACGAGAATTGTGATTAATGTGCATGAGAATGGTTAACATAACATCCCTAAGTCTTGGATGATCGATCTTCTTCTCTTCTTCTTCTCTTCTTGTTATTATGATTCTCTAATTGTTTCACAAATCGAAATGCAGTGCTACTGTGAATATAACAGGTTTTTTTGTTAGGAAATCAAAAGAAAAAACTTTCATTTGACGAAGCTAATTTAATAATTTTTTTTAATATTCAGATTAAGTGAAGACGTACCAGTGTAGTAAATTCAATAATGTTTTTATAGAACACAATTTTTAAGTGTCAATCGTTTTACCTATCGATCATCGAAGAGAATAATAGGGGACCTATTCCTTGTAATTTATTCATAGAAATTTTATTTACTTACCATTCAGCTATAACGGAATGTAAGACATCGCAATTGCAAATAAACCTTTAAAGCAAAAATTTTTAATTACAGGATTGAATTCGTTAAAAAAATAGTAAATTGCATACTTATCTATACCCGTAAAAGTAGCGGGCTTAGATTGTAAGTTTGAGTCAGTATTTATCCCACACTAAAAGTTTTAAAAAATACATTCGTATATAAATTGAAATAGAAATCCAATAGTTTTCTTACCAACGTAAAAATGACGGATACTTGAACTTCTTCAAAGAATTTGGATAACTAAAAGAAATAGGAAAAAAGAAATAATGAAACAAAATTTCTTTATAAACTTGCTTAAACGTACATATGTATGTAAGTACATACATACATATATTTTTTTTTTCGCAACTTTGAAATTTCAATAATACTATATAGCATAATTGAAATATATTTTAATCTAAGAAACTAAAGAATTATTTTTAGACTGGAATATACATATTTGATCTAAACTCTAATGCACAATTACTTAGGCATATTATTTAAAAGCAATGAATATTTCTTATTCGTTATCGTACTACAGTTGCTAAAAAAAATTGTTAAAATCATATTATAATTAATAATTACTTCATCGCAGTAAAAAACTTCATCCACTTGATATATTTTTTTAAATTCATCTAAAGTATTTATATGACCCATCCAAACACCATACTCATCGGGTAATCTAGGAACAAAAAGAATCGACTTTCCACTCTCAATATGTACTGCACCATAACAACCAGGTTCTTTAACACCAAACATATATTGAAAATAGGATTCCTAAAATTCATGTTTATTTTAACAATAACAAACTTAATTGACCCAGAATTTATTGTTTAACAAATTTTTTTACAAAAACCATTCTGATACTTACTTGCCTAAATAAATAATCAACATCCGTATCATTGAAGCTAACATCATTTCCACCTTGTAGTAAAATATATGACTTATTATCTACAAGTTTATGGTTTTTCATTTCTCTTGCAACTTTATTTCTGTTATTCCTAAAGATTTATTAGAAATCATTAAATATTTTCTAAATTCTTTAATATTTTCTAAATGTATTTTATTACCTAAACATAGTCATTGGAATCTCTAGCGTTCCGGGACCCATTTTAAAGAATGCCATTTTTTGAATATTATGTTTAATATTTCCTGTAATTGAACAAAAACAATTAAAATTATTTGAAAATATTTTACTACACAATAATTTTAATTTAAAATTATACCAAAGCTTAATATTCTTAGATTTGAATATGTGCATTAGTTTTATCGTTGCAACTACATATTGACATTTACTTGTATTCCAATTATTAGGGTAAGAAGGATAATATTAACAGTACATTTTTCGCTTTCTCATCTCACTTTTTATTCACTTTCAAATTAGAATTCTTCTTTTTTCTAATAGATATTTCATTTTTTCCAATTGGATTACTTAGATCTTCAATTACAATTTTTATATTATGTTAAGTACTCTATCGACAACAAGTCAGTTAAATATTACATATTTGTATAATAAAGCACTTTTTTTGTCGGGAATTTAGATTTTTTATTTATTGACAAAAAAAAAATTGCAAAAACATAAAAAAAACATACCCCGAAACTCGAATCAATTCTCTCTCTCTAAGTTTATAAATCTAATACGGCTGGCTCATTGACTGAGCTACAGATTTCAAATATATGTAGGTATATAAATTAATATTTTGTCTATTTTTCAATTTACAATATGGAATTTTCAAATTAATTTTATCCAGAAAATTATGAGATTTTTGAAAAGTATTTAATTTTTAATAGATCGCCAGATCTTAACATCCACAGTCTCAGTTCAATACACAAAGCACATAATAAGTGAACTACAGTGCTACATTGTAAAATTTTTTCGTGTTATCTCTTAATTTCAGTTTAAATTTTATAAGGGTAGTAGATTTGAGGATGCTTTAATTTTTGATAAGAACTTACTAATCATTTTTACTGTTATCAAATAAATTTACAACGATTTTGTTTTAATACCGGCCCTAAAATAAAACACCTTTATTACAATACTATACAAATTCTTTTATTTTAAATTTTCTTGTATGCTTTTTCATTTTTATGTGTTTTTTTTTAATTTTTAATTTTTTTTTTTACTTTGATTCAAATTAAGTAGTAGCTGAATTATAGTTAATACATTACATATTTTAATTATAATATTATTAACTTAAAAAATAAATATTTAAATTGAAATTCGAAAAAAAATCATAAATATTTAAATTTCTAGGTTATTTTTTTTTTTTAAATTTTTGAATGTTATTTCTAAAAAAATCAAATATTTTTATAATGTATTAATGTATATATATATCCTTAAAAATAAAAATTTGTTTTTTACAATAATAATAATATAATTATATGTGTAAGTATGTTATTAATATAGTATGCCTTTTTCTATACTATATTATTTTAAATAAAGATGAATTTACAAAATTCATTATTAAATCATTATGAATACTATCATAAAATTGTTTTCTATTATAATTTGTTTATTTATAATATTTTTTAAAGTTCTTGCAATTTAATATAGTTTTAATTAATAATTCAAACTTAAACTAACATTTTTGATTCTTTAGCATTATTAGAGCAACGTTTTTTTTTTTTGTATTGTTTTGTTTTATTTATTTAATATTATGTATACATAGTTTGATTACATTTAAATTTAGCATTTTTGTAGTCTTATTATATTGGAAATAACAAAATTAAGAAATGTGTAATAAAATACACATAGGGCATTTACCAAAATGCAGATCTAATGTCAACTTGACATATTCAACAGTATAAATATAATTTATAATTGCTTTAAATAAGTCAAATTAACATTAGATTTGTTTTTTGATTGACAGCCATATTTGTAATTCATATATGTATATTTTTGGATAAGTGTTAATTATTTATTGCAAAATTACAATGTCTACATACATTATTTTTCTCGGTACAATATGCATATAATTATTGAATTTTATTGAAAAATTAAAAAAAAAAAAAAAAAAAAATTGGGAAAATTTCCAAGTTAATCCCGATCTCTTGACGTAATCGATTGACATTTAATTCAGATATTACTACTCATAAATTGCGTATTATAATATCTTAATATTGCAATTTTGAAGTCGGACTATATAAAAGTTATTTAAAAAGAATATTGCTTTGAAACAATTAAAAAAAAAAAAACATGTTGGTATTTAATAAAAATTATAAAATTTGCAATTATCGCCGTTTTATTATTAATGCATTTATAAAGTGTAAATTACTGTAGCTTAGTAAATTTCTGTATGTATTTTTTTTTATATTGCTAGGGGTTAACATTTAAAATATTAGGGCCGCCTACCAAAATCCATATCTAACATCAATTTGACTTATTCAGTTATCAAAATTTTTTTATTGAATAAGTTAAGCTGTACTTGTTTATACTGACTGTAGGATGAGTTGGGCAATTGGCAATTTTCAACCTTTTGAAGCACTGATATAAATGGGATATGCCCAGTGCTCTTGCAGCTGGGTTGGAACTGGTATTGCCGCACCCATATACGAATATTTAGAAGCAATTTGGCTCTCGGGTATATTCCCGAGTCCTAGCGGTTGGTTCGAGTGATTTTCATACCCAAGATGAGTAAGAAGAACTTGAAGCAAAAATTATTCATACTTGACATGTCGAAGTCAATCAGATCAATCAGTCTCACTTCTTTTCTATTGAAAGCGATCGGAAATCGAGTCTAATGTACTCGAAGTCTTGTTGACGTTAGATCTCTATTTTTGGCAGAGGCCCTTATATTTTATTTTATGAATATGTACATATATATGTATGTATTTAAGTTCTGAAATACTTATTTTAACATCAATTGATATAGAGAATAAATTTATGAAAAACATGCATTTAATACTTTATATACATCAATTTTTTAAATTTAATACTATTTAGTTTAAATAAAAGAAAAAATTATAACTTTTTACAAAATACATTTGAATTTTCATTAATTTAGCTTTTATTACAATGTTAATTCTCTTGAATATGAATTTGAACTACAACGATCGATTTCAGAGAATTTATACAAGATTAAAAAAATTTTTTCTTTTAATTTCATTCAAAATTCATTCAAAATCAATTGCTTTCAACTTTCCTCTGTTAAAATTTATTATTTAAATTTAATTTATATGAAAAAGAATGATGAAATCTGATGTTAAACACCTGTTTTTTTTTATAATTTTTTAAGTATATTTAAATATGTATACTTATTATATATTAATTATGTACAAATATACAAAACATATTGTGTCATGATTAATAATTTTTTACTTAAATTCTTTTACTCTTTTTATGGTTTTTTAATTTTTAAGAAATTAATCTCACAGCTCCCAAAATATTATTTTAATTAATAAAATTTATATATTTATATTGGTCCTTATTATGAAAAGATATATTACCGAGTGTTATAAAATTTTTTTATCGGTATTGTAGCTGATGATCGTATTTTAAAAGAGGTTCTTTTTATTATACATTGGCATATAAATTAGCATTTATATTATTATAAAAAATTTAGTTTTAAAATTTACCGATCGATTTTATCGGATAATTTTAAGTATAAAAAATTCAAAAACTTAAACGAATAAAATTTTGATTAAAATTTCCAAGAAGTTAAACAGTATAGAACCACCTACAAGAGATCCTAGAAAATGGTGAATGGTAAGTTAAATAATACATATGTAATTCATAGAAACTGAAGAAGATATTATTAAAACTATAAAGCTGGATATACCCCAAAACTCAGCCACGTGTGTAATTTAAAATGTTTGAATGTTAAATGTCGGTTTATAATACTGCGATAAAACGATAACGATACACTATTGTTATTGTACCGTATATCATATTTTTTCATAATAAAGTCCATATATATATACGTATATATATATATATATATATATATATATACGTATATATATATATACGTATATAGTCAAATCCCTACAAGACGAACTTTCGTAAGACAAAATTCTCCTTGATGTGAAATTGTTTTGTTGCATTTTACATCACAATTTTTTTCTTATTCGTACCGCACAATGCGAATTTTGTTGCATGGCGGTCGGACTATATATATATCTACGGCCCCGGCAAACATGTAATTTTTAATTTTGCAATTACAGTTTGAATGCAAATTAATTGCGCGGACAATTAATCAACCAGACTATTTAAACTTATTAAATTGCAATTAGAAAATTTGCAAAAATTACAAACAGTTTGATTGTTTAATTGCATTCGATCATACAGCTGCATGTGTGCGTGCTTGATTATACACCTATAGAAAACAAATAAGCAATCAAGCACTTTCAAAACTGAAAATTGCATGCCTGCCACAGCCCTTAAGTTAGAGACATAATATGAATGTCTGGTGAATTTTAAATGAATGGAAAACATTTCTATATTTCTTCCAAACTCTTCCAAACCCAAATGTTTTTCATTTTCCTATATATTGTTTAATATTAATTTTGTTATATGTTATGTATTACATTTCTGTTATTTTAATATTTTTATTAAATTTAAATGGGTGGTAAATATCCCAGTCTTAGGTACTGAGTGGTTAATTATACAATAATAATGATGTACTTTTTAAGTTTCGTTCTAATTAAACATATATGTAATTTTACTTATTATCTTTTTAATTTATTAAGAAATATTTATTATAATTTAATATACATATGTATAGAAAGTTAGTTTTGATAAAAAAATTTTATTAAATAAAAAGAAAAACAAATGAAATATTTTTATTTTAATATTTACAATTATCTGTTTTTGCTTTTTTATTTTTGAAAAGATTTCGAGATCAATTAAACTTAATCTTCAATTTTTATATTTATTGATTTGGGTAAGTAAAAAAAAATTATATTTCAGGTGTATTATTTAATTATTTTTCTTAAAATAAATTGCTACTTCACAATGTATTTAAATTTTTTTTATTTAATTCATTTATGTACATATATATTTTATAGCAATTATTCATACTTAAAATTTTCTTTTCTTTATAACGTAGTATAAATATATTTTATTAAAATGTTATAATGTAAGACATTAAGAGAAACATAAATTTTGATTTAATCCTTTCAAATCATTGGTACAGAACCGATTTTCAAACAGA